GGGGGAGGGGGGGGGGTCTGAAAGGCTTAAGCGAGGCCTTCCCCTGCCACGCCCTGGGCTGGGGTTGGGCTGGGCCGGGTGTAGGGCTCCGTGACGCGCCCGACGGTCCCACTATAAATATATCGCCTGGCGTGGTGAGCTTCGACAGTAGCCATACAAGGGGCCCGGAGGGGGTGGGGGGCACGGCACAGCCGAGGGCACAGCAGTCCTGTGGAGGGCTGTAAAGGGGCGCATTAGGGCCCGCGAGGGGTCAAAGGCCGGCGGGTGGGCCGCTGGGCCGCGGCGGGTGCCATGCGGTGCGGCCCTAATGGCGTCACGGCCGGCCCCGCCCTTTGTATCGGCCGCCGCGCCCGGCCACGCCCTGGCAAGGTTCCCGCGCGCCGCCGCATGACCGCCGCGGGCCGCAGGCGTCGTTATACGCGAAAAATGATAATTTGGCCGGCCGTGTGCGCGAGGCGTCGGCTCTGAAGCCTTCCCGACGTGACTTCTTCATAACAGCCGCGCCGAGGCCGCCGGGGCCGCGGCCGTCCAGACGGCGGGCTTGGGCGTCGCGGCGCCGCAAAGGCAGCAAGAATAGCTGTCGGTGAGGGGCGGGGGGGCCCGGGCCCGGGGGGCCGGGGGCTGGTGGGGCGCGCGCGGGGTGGCTCGCTGGCAAGGCGGGGTGGCGGGGCGCTGCTGCTGCTGCTGCGGGGTGCGCGCGCGCCGGCGGTTGACGCCTGGCGTGTCTCCGACCGACACCGCTAAGTTTAGCGCCGCGAGAGCGCGTCACCTCAGAAATAGACGCCCACGCGCCACTCCGCGCCACGCCGCGCCAGGGGGAGGAGAGAGGGGCCGCGGCGGCGCTGCTGCTGCGCCTCGGAGCGGCCGGAATGAGATGAGAAATGCAGCGGCAACATTTTGTGCCGTCCCGTGTCGAGGGCGCTGAGGGGGGCCCCTGCGCCGCCGGGCGTTCTGCTATACTACGTTATTGGCGAATCTGCAGCGCGCCGTGCGTGCGAACGCCCGTGCGAGCGGCCGTGCGTGCGCGCGCGCGCGCGGTCACACAATTGTCAACACGGGCGGGCCGTGCCCGGGCCGGGCCGCGTGCCCGCGCATGACCAAACACGCATCCTCGCGTATTTTGGTGTGTGCCGAAGGGCTGGGGAGGGAGGGGTGGCGGCGGCCTCGTGCATGCGAGCGCCGCTGGGCGCGCTGAGCGGCTCCGGTTGCGTGTCTGCGTGGTCAGTGAGCTTTGCGGCCCGGGATGGATGCCTCGGCCCTCCCGCCCCGGGGTGTGGGAAGCAAGCGGGCCTTGTTTGGTCAGTTCCTCTTCGCCGAGACGTGTCGCCGCTCTACGGGCGGCGGGCAAAAAGTCACGCGGCTACCGATTAGGCTTTTTTTCGCGCTGGCATAAATAAATATACATTTTCACTCTGAGCGTTGTTGTACCCAGCGAACTATCACTGTGTACCGCTCGAAGGCAGCCAGCGAGTCTGCCGCTTCCCCAGACGGAGCGACGCCCTGTCCGTCAAGAGGAGGAAGAAGAGTAGAGTAGAGACGGCGGGGGGAGGGAGGGGGGGGGGGAGTAATTGGTGCCTAAGGTGTATGATGGTTAGTTGATGGCCGGGTTGGCCGTGCTGCCCTTCCTTGTTTATACCCTGCAAACTGCCTCGTACCGCCCATGTTTATACGCGCTCTGCCCTTCCTTCCCCCCACGTCGCGCTGCTGCTGCCGCCGTCGGCGTGGCGATTTCGATTTTGCGAACCAATGAACCGTGATAGTGTCTTATCGGCGCGGTGGGTGGAGCTGAGGGGCGTCCGGGCCGGGGGTACAAAAGCTCGGCCTCCTTGATGGACTGTGCAGCGCCCCGTCTGTGGTTTTAGTGGAGGCCGACGCGGAGGTCCTGGTCGTTGTGGTTTGCGGCGCGGTTGGGGCGCGGAGCGTCTGTCGGGGACGCCGCCGGCCGCCCGAGGACGCGGCGAGACATTTGATTTTGTTGTAAGTTAAAGTGGTCCATGAATGGTCCGGAGGCTGCGCGCCAGATCTTGCGTCACGGCGCGCCCCGCTCCCAAAAGGACCCCAGATCTCATCTCTGATGCGGCCGGGAGACGCGTTGCCATGGCGACGGTACATGGTTGTCGCCTGGTGTGTTGCGCGGTCGAGCCCATTGTGCTGTGCCCTGTGGCCGGGCGGGGCGCTTGCTGGTCAGACTGTACCGGGCAGGGCCGGGCTGGCTGCGCCTGGGCAGCGCCGAGGGGCAGGTGAGGTGCCTTATGCCTACCCCGCACCGCATGCCATCAGGCCGGCCCGCCCGGCCCGCCGCGCGCCCCGGGCGATGTATGTTGCGTGGAGCGGCCCTAGCCCGGCCCAGCCCGGCCCGCCTCAAAGCAACTCTGTGTTGTATCCCCAACATTCGTGCTGCTCTCTTTATGTACCAGGACACTCTTCTTTTTATCCCTCCCCTCTCATTTTTACTCCTTTTTTAAAAGTTTGTTCCTTTTCTCCTCTTCTCCCAACCGCCCTCTGCTCTTCTCTTGATGACCGGGGCAGGCAAGAACAGGAAGGCATACATAATTATTTTTTCCCAGGTGGGCCCGAGCCATATCGCGCGGTCGTTCTGCACCAGCAGATGCGGTGCATGGTCACACGATGAGCCCTGCTGTCACGCGGGGCGTGGTGTGTGGCGCGGCGAGGTGTGTGGCGCGGCGGGGCACGGTGAGGTGGGCCGTGGCGAGGTGGGGCGCGGCGTGGTGGTGGCTGAACTTTGACGCGCTATTTCAGTGCGGCGGGGCGGAGCGGCCAGTGGTGTCCGCCCTGCTTGTTTACACACCGCGTTCCTTGCACTTGTAGCGCCCCTGGTCTCCCTCCCCTCTCCTCCCCCTTCCCCCCTGACTCGTCTCTAAACCGGTAACTTGCTCTGGGCTGGGATGCCAGTTACGTCGTTTTCGCCGGGCCCGGTCCTTGCCGGGATGAGGTTGATGGGGGCTCTGCTGCTGCTGCTCCGTTCGCCACGGAATGCCTGAGGTGGGGTTGGGCTTAGGGGGGCGTGGCGTGTCGGGGATGTTCGCACGGTGCCGGATATTCTATTCCTGACCCCCCCCCCCTCTCCTTCCTTCCCGCTCCTCGCCCGCTCCCCGCTGAGCCGAGTAAATCACGCGGAGTCATAACAGCGGGCTTTGGATCTGTATTAGCATCGACTCGGAGTTGCGATGGAGGCCACGGTGCTGGCTGAGGTGGCTCTGGCTCGACGGGCAAATGTCCGGCCGCGTCCGGTGCAAGCACGTGCGTCCTCAAAAAAAAAAAAAAAAAATACTGGTGGAGACTTCTGCGTGTGTCCTCGTATAAAAGAAAAATTGAGCAAAAATAAACTTTGAAAAGAGAAAGAAAAACGCAATGTAATGTTCCGGTGACTTTTTATCCCATGAGTTTCCTCCCGTTTTTTTTTATTTTTATTTTTCATTTCTGCAGTTGGAGTCAGTCATGCCAACGATGTTCACTCTACTGCTTTACACCCACTTTTAAAAAAATCGTACAACAACAACAAAAATTGGAACGCAAACATCCTGGCTAGTCGTTGGCGCTATGCTATGGCCGTGCCTCCTCCTTCCCTCCTCTGTTGACGCGCAGCGCAGCGGCGTGGCGCGGCGTCGCCCGAAATTTTCCCAATTATTCCGCTTGAAGCGCCCCGTCAAACGGACAGTTG